CTGATTGGCTTGTGAAAGCAGTTTGGAAACTGGAAGCAACAAAGGCTGAAAGATGATGCTTCCACTACATGTATACACAAAAAAAAATGATTCCACAATTTAAAAACACCTAATATTAGGAAGCAACAATTCCTTAATAAATTACTACAAATAAAATTTACAGATCTGAGCTGACAATGGAAGCCCAACCAGTTACTACCATAGTTTCAAAAAGTGTCCACCCAGCGCCTCGGCGGGCTAGGGGGGCCTGGGCGTATCACCCAGACCTAGGCAGACCAACAAGGTGAGCTATCCATGGGTGACAGCCTACGAGGGCGCCGAGGGATTGCACCCGCCGAGGTGCAAAAAACACCCATCGGGTGAGGCATTTTGGTGTTTTTTGTTTGGATTATAAAAAAAATGCATAAAAATGCATTTTTATACAGAATCTGGACCTAAAATAGGATCCTGGATACCATTGCCCCCTTTTGAACCTACGTCGTCCCTGGGCGCCCCCCCTCCCCCCCCCCCCGAGGTTGCCTAGGGGCCACCCGCCATTTTTTGAAATACTGGTTATCAGCTCAATCAATCTATTTACATACATCTAAAAAAGTTATTCAATGGGATCACATAAAAACAAGAGCAATGCAGATCTTCTCTTTGAGGAATGGTGCTCAAGAGCAATAGATATAAAAAAGGCTAAGTCAGAGGGGATTTGGGCCCCTACCCTTCGGTGAGAATGAAGTTAGAGATGGTGAGAATGAAATCAGAGACTTCATCATAGGGCTCGTTGGTACTACCGCCAAGGGCCCAGCCCATTCTCAGAAGCAATAGATATTGAGGATAACTAAACAAATAAACGTTGGAGAAAAAGGAAAGACACAAGTACACATACCATGTGAAATGTATGTGTATGGTTCAGGACAATACTCATGAACCAAGTTTACTATAGAAAAGTAACATTCTCATACAAAGGCAACACAAGTTTGAAATAGGGAATCCTTACCAGGCCATTTTGAGAATGAAATTCAGACTTCAAATTTAGGTGGTCCCTCGACAACAGGTATGTTCTTAAACCTTCAACATGACTCTCATTTCCTAAGAAGTGAAATGAACAAAAATCAGAAACCAATACAGGAAATTTTCCAATAGTGTTATTTGGTGCATGTCGCCATCTGACCTGAACATAATGCGAGAAGAGCAGAAGCATTGAATGCTAGTGTGGGCCTCGATAGGCTGATTATGAAGGTCATTCCAGAAAGTCCACACACTCTCTCCGTACAAAGTATGACCTGTACAACAAAATTATGTAACCAATAAGTGCCAAAATGCAAGAACCTGCAGGTAATGTAAAGTTGCAGTTTTCGGTGAACATCCTTTTCTCATCTGTTAGCAATAGATCAAATGGGAATAAATCATAACTATCAGGCTGCAATAAAATTAAGAATCCAAAACAGCTCAGAAAATCAATACATAGTGCTTCTAAGTAGTGAAGCCTCCTCGAACAAAGAAACCACTAAGTAAATAAATAATCACGAAACTTACTGCATCCTCAGGAGTGAAAGCAGAAGGTAGCAAAGGCGAGCCAAGAACCCCCTTGATATAAGGCCCCTGCAAATTTCATGAAAATTCAGTCGACTAACAAGAAGAAAAGCAAATGTTAGCCATTGGCTAGAATAAATGCCTCACATACCTGTGAACTTAGAACACGTTCTAAAAAGGATTTATCCCCATCACATAACTCAAAGTACACTTCTACCATATCAGTAGGTTCCAACCCTGCTTTCTTGCGTAGCTTTTGGATCCTATTAACAACCTGAATACAGAATTTCACAAACACACTCAAACCAATAATTGACTAACCCTCGTCTAACAATTACAAAAGAGACACAGGCACTAAAAAAAAAAATCAAAGAAAATTTGAAATGCATGATATTTCCGATTCAGTTTTCTGATAGGGGAGGTCAGATTATGAGAAGAGGGAGACCCCACCATGAGAGAGGCATAATCTATTATTCTTTTACATTCATATTCCATATTTCCGATTTACTGCAGTAAGTTGAATTTTTCGAGAACGAATTCCAAATAAGGGGAGAAGGTAGTGAAAAGCTACACCACAGTATGCTGCATGCAGACTTGGTTGCAGGTTTGAAACACCTGAGCACTCAAAACTCTTTGTTTCCATTTTTTGATAGTTAATAGAGAGGTCAACCTTTCTTTTTCTATTTTGTCCTGTGGAACTGACAGAAATAAGAGTTGCACTGAAATTCAGGGATCCCAAAAATCTATGCTTGTTGGGGCTGGGCAGTCGGTTGGAAAAATTTATGCATGTTTGTGCTAGGTAGCATGTTGGACCGCCCTGGATTTCAGTAGACTCCCATTGCAATTAGGTGATAGGAGAGCAATTACTGCTTTTCTTGAGCAATTACTGCTTTTCATAATAAATTAATAGGTGATAGAAGAGTAATTCAATCAAATGGTGCAGTGTGAGGGAGCCAAAAGGGAAGACTCAATGGCCCATAATCATCAGAGAGGCTAGAGCTCACAAGGTAGCACTTTTCAATCTTTGCAAATAGACCGGTCCTGGTTCCTTGTATCTAAGAAAAAAAGAAAAGAGATTTAGAAAGAGAAAAGAAATCATTCTACAAAAGATTCCACTGGGAGTAATTTATATTGAAGCTGTGCTCTAGAAAATACATATTGGGTGAGAATACCCTTACAGTCAAATGCAGCAAGAGGAACAAGTTTGGTGTTTGACCGACTTCCATAATCTTTGATGGTTAAGGATAGGATCCACAAGTGAAATTTATTATCTGAAAGATGTGTTTAGCATTCTCCTTAACTTCTCTCCTGTGTAGAGGGAAAACTACTGAGCACACTTTAATTCCCCCATGAAGAGGTACTGGAATTTAGAATAGGAAAAACCCAGAAGGCTAGAAGGCCTGTGAGAGCAGGACCTGGAGTTAGCAGGCAATAATATTTTACTAGAATTCATCATGCTGAGAAAGGATGCATCTACAGTCCATCACAGCAATCTTCTGAAGGGGAGGAAATGGTGGGAATAAAAACATACACAATAATGTACAAATGAGAGCAAGGCATGTGAAGAGTTGTGATTCTGTCTCTTAGCTATTAATAGTCATAAAACGAGTATTCAATGTGACCTTTCAAAATTGACAGTCAGATAACTCCACTTTCGCCCTTTCAGTTCCAAAATACAAACTGCTGCACTCAAAGAGATCAACTGCGGTCATGAACTGCCTACTAGTGTAACAGTGCTATTGTAGTCACCATAGCGCTATGGACAATGCTAACTAGCAAAAAGTGCTCTATCAGCATGGTGCACTTATTCTCGCCCCCAAACAGCATGTTGCAGATGATATAGAACACAAGAAATGTTCGATCGTGGTTGGCCCGACAAAACTAGCATGGGGCACGAGCAAGATCGCCTTGGTCACCCATCCTTCTTGTGTGAATTGCCCAAGGTCGCCTCATGACATTTTTACAAACACCTAGGATGCAATGAAAAGGGCATTGAATCATGAACTACAATCTCTGACCCAATCTCATTCACAAGCTAAGGGTACCTCTGTGAGTACGCAAAGTGCAAACTGTGCCTTAAGCGCCGGTACAGATGCACATACGCATGTGTATTGCATGATTATCATAGGCCTTCTCTCCCTTAGTTCCAATAATACAAGACTAGAGGGTGTTCACTATATATACTTGACCTTCTCATTTCAATTTTTTTAACGTGGGATGCAAACGTTCATTTTTCTCTCCCTAGAATATAACTAAACAGCTTACCAAGAAAACTATGGTTCTGAAAATCATTATTTCGAAATACTAGTACTTTACCATTGCAGAAATGCCAACCAGGGTTTTAAAACATGGATTGGCAAGGTGAACCAGCCATCCAGAAAACAGTCAATAGTCGACAAATCAAACCGATTGTTCGGTATGAAGATAGTTACAAAAAATAGAAGGAAAAAAAAGGAGAAAAACCTAATGGAATCACATGGTTCCCGATCAAAACTAGGGTGATTTCAGGGAGCCGGACCGATTCCAGGTTCCAACAAGAAACCGGTTGGTCTACCCCGTTTTAAGTCCAAATTGGCGATTCCTGATTCGGACCGCCGGTCTTTTAAACATTGATACCGATGATTCAAGAAATATCCTAAAGCTGAGTACGATGTGAAAAATAGATTTTATCGTGGTATTATCCATATATAGATGCGAGTGTTTTGGGTAGTAATGCAAAAAATTCAAGGGTTTAAGGATATTCCAATATATAAGGCCATCACGCAAAGATAACCTTCAGCCACCTTTCATGCATATCAATAAAAGTCTACATATGGTGTCATGGAGCGAATGAAAAAGTCACCAGCACAAGATCATGAAAATATAATTCCTCTCATAGTTCAAAAAGTCGTCTGCCCAGCTGCCTAGGCAGCCACCTAGGTTGAGCTCTGGGCCGCATAGGCCCAGTGCGGGCAGTGACCTTGGGCAGTCAACTAGTCACCCAGGGCACCACCTAGCATCCAACGCCTGGGCACCTGCCCAGAGCCCTTTTAGCGAGGCTGTAGATTGCCCTCGCCTAAAGGGAAATTCTAATCTCTCCCCTTTAAAAGGAGGGAATAGTATTTGAGGGGCATTTAGCACCCACAAAACCCTAGAGAAATCTACTTGTGCCCTAAAAACCTACAACTTAAGGGCTTCATATTCTTTGCTATTATTAAAAAATATTTAATATGTATAATATCTTTTGGCTTGTTTCTAATTTATAATGCAAATTTGAAACCTTATAAAATATTTTTGGTGATGTTTTGTTTTGTTTCTAATTTATAATGTAAATTGAAAATGTTCCTCTATGTTTGGCTACGTTTCTAATTTTTAATGTAAAATTGCGTATTTATTAATATATTACGCCCCCTTCCCAAAACAAATTCCCTTCCTTTTTCTCTCTTACAGTGGACACCCAAAGACGCCCGCGTGTCCAAGGGTCTAACCATGTGTTGACACTTTGTGGACATGACACGCATGTAGACACCTTAAGAAATGTGCACGACACTCCTATAGAGTGTCCAATAGCGTGTCCCTTTTTTTTTGACACGTTTTTTGTCTAGAATTTCACCTTTTTTGTTTAGAAAATGTTATTTTAGAATGAATAATATTTTTATTTTAAAAATAGAATATGAAGTAGTTTAGAATAGAAATAAAAATATTTGTGCTTTCTTAAGTTGGGTTCACATAAGTCATTATTTCTATATTTAAAAATATGCTTTTATTTCACGTACTAATAAACCTTCCAAGGCTATCCTCAACCCTAGTCGTAGCTTCTCCCTCTCCAAGTCGTGTGAATCTTCATCTAACCACTTCTCCAACATTTTCTTCTTCCCTTCTCATTTTGCCATATAAGATCTGTTTAGTTGACTTCGTTTTTTTACCATTGATAACATGAGTCTTATTCTACCTTGGGTTATTAATATACTTTACATCTACTACTTGCATTTTTCTAGCACTTGAGTTGTAGTAGTTTTGAAAGCACGTACTTGCATTTACTAGTATTTAAAATCTGTAGTACTTTTGTTGTGCTATTGAGGATGCAAGCAATGTGATATATGATTTCAGATGAATACAATAGGACCCTATTTAACAGACATGCAATAAGGCTATTGCATTTTGAATTAATAACTAGCTAATAGTTTTTTGTGGTTTCCCATGTTACGATGCAACCTTGGATTATAATAAATTTTTTATGAATAAAATTCTAATTCACAAAGTAACATTTTAGGACCACTAATTCAATTTTTTTTTTTGTAATTCTTTACCACGATTATGTTGTATATTAAATGCAGATGTGAACTACACATAAGCTCCACAATATATGCGTGTGTGTATGTGTGTGTGAGTGTGTGTATGAGATTGCATAGAATGAGACCCTTTATCTTTGTTACAAGGAGGTCACAAACACCTCTAGCTATCCGATTTCAAATTCGATAACTTTGAGTGCGTCACGAGCTTCGAAAAATTTTCTTCGAACTTTGAACCTAATCAATAATACACTCACATCCACCCGATTCGAAATCTGAGGACAAGAATGATTGTGACCTCCTTATACCAAAAGTAAATGGTCTCTTTATATACTTTTCCTCTCTCTAAAATTTCTGGGTTAACATATCTAACACTGACACCCATGTCACAAATTGACAAACGTGTCCATTTCTATGTAACATAGGGAAGAATAGATCCATCTTTACATGCTAAAAAAAAAACCACAGATCCACCTATAAAGAAATAGATGATTTTTGGTTTGCTGCATCTTTTTTTTCAAAAACACTCAACAAGAAGCACCTTAAACTGGTGATACTCAAATAGATTATATAAATTTACTAACATGATAGTTCCATTTACCTCTCGAGCGACTCCAGCTTCCACCAATGAATCATCAGGACGTAGATCCAAAACAACCAAAACATCCCCTTAAAAAAAAAGGGAAAAAAATGAGTGCAACTTCCAATTAAACCATCACTAAAAGATGAAAACAAAGAAATGTCTTACCATCCCCAACTGCATCAATGTCCTTCTCCGGTACATTAGCAGGACGTTTGAATTGCCGAACTACCTGAAAAAGAAGGAATATTAAATATAAAACTTAGGAGACATCACAGATACATGTAGGTATGCCAATGTCAATGGGAAAGTTAACAGGTGTATTGTCATCTTCTATAAAACTGCAAGGGGAATCGTAAGCATAAAATAACAAAGAGGTATGTTATATAGTCACTAAACACTGTAGGTAGAAGAAGTGAAGACATTTTAGATTATGGTATTTGGAAGTTTCAAAAGAAATTGCCACAGAAAACTGTCAAAACAAATCATATTAGAGGACCTATATTCAAAAGCCATAGTGGAGACTCGGATATAACTTCCAACATAGGATCACTTGCATGGAGCAATTAGTGTGTGTATCAAAAATCTAGCACAATCAGACAATTTCGCAAAAATTCGACAGCATGCAAACAAAAAGGGTAAGGAACTGGATAATTATACTACGGGAATAATGTATGAGCATAAATTGCACAAAATGTGTTTACTAGGGTAATGAGTCCGACAGCCTTTGACATTGGGTTGGTATATTATTCATTAGATCATTTACGTAGTCCCACGTTAGCTGGAATTGCGAGAATGCATACATCCTTGGATAGTTACCACATCTCCTATATTGCCTATGTGGACAGACATTGCATGCACCTGGCTCTCCTCTAGGCCACCACACCCCAAATCCCTTTAGGCCTATCACCACCTTTGGCTATACCATTTTAATTTTCCAAGGAAATCTTGATCATCGAGCATGTATTACAATAAAGCCTTGCATATCATATTGGGAAACTAATGTCGTGCTTGGTGGATGACAGTCTCTTCCTCCACTACCCAGAGTATACCACATATTTCATGAGGTCATATGATCGTAGAATATTTTTCTTTTTCAAGTGTGCAAGGTATACTCCCTGTAGCTATCATTACAAACAAATTGAAGCTTTTCCTCATCTCGGAAGGATTTCATGCATATCATTCATCCCCATTCCCCCCATCCATGGCTCTTTATCCCTTTGCTCAATTTAACACATTTGGCATGAGGAATACAAATGTTGTTTAGTACTGCATCAAGTAAGGACTCATCATGCAGAGCACCTGAGGTTGGGCGTGTAGAGGTGTTATCATCACAAGGTTTAGGAGGAATTTGGGAGAAGAAATCAAGTTGATAGGTGTATTAGGCCCGGTAGAAGGTATTATTCTATCAGGGGTTGTAGACAGGATGGATGAGAATGGATGAAACAGAATAACAGATCATCAAAGCAGCAGAATCAAGGGAAAGGGTATTAGTAGCAAATTAAAGGCGTTGTAGACAGGAGGGATGGGATTGGATGAAATTATAACAAGATCTTCCAAGCAGCAGAAACAAGATCATCCAATTCTCGATTGCTGACAATAGGAAGAGTTCAAGAGGTGTGAAGGTGAAATAACTGGTTTGTTGGTGATGTCTACATCAGTCGTGAACCCCTCAGGATTAGGGAAGTGAAGCACTGAAATTGCCTCCTAGTGTAATGTCAAGTTTGATGGACGCTGTTGTGAGAATCTAGAATTAGAAGAGTGAGGGAAGATTCATGAATAATGAAATGGCAAAAGGTGGGCCAGCATGTGCATAAAAAAATAGGGTTGCATATCCAGGAAAAAGGAAGCTACATTCTTCAGCTTTTCGGGTAAAGGGAACAAATAGGCTCTTTCTTCAGCCCCTTGATCATATAAAGTTACCTTTAAAGATCATTTCTCATATCCAATATTTTCTTATATTCATTTTCGCATGATGAATATTTCTTCCTAATATACTTTATGAATATGCTCATGATTACCTATGGTTGACCAACTGGCATCATCACTCATTGTAGATCTATTCAAGTTTGTGAGTACAGCCAACAATGCAAATACAATAGCAAAATCTTGATGCAAAAAAAAAGAAAAAAAGAGATGCACCATGCCATCAAATGGAGACAAACCTTTATGTCACTAAGCTGCAACAGGTGACCTGAAATAGTTACTTCACCAGATTTTTCCAAAGACAGAATGTCAGCCTGAGACATTGCCTTGATTTCCTTGGCTACAGAGCCCATGGCTTTTCCGAGTCGTTTGCCTAGAACACTACACCAGAAAAAACCATAAAGGAGCATAAAAAATCTATAATAAGTAAACTGCACTGTATACCAATTCAGACAGTACCTGAACTCAGGCTCTGCACGTAATGACGCATACTTCAAAGGATCATTGCATGGTACAATGGACCTTATATTGAGCTCCTCAGACACATACTTCCAAAACAAAAATAGAAAGTAAAACAAAAAGAGAAAATCAGTATGCCCAGAAGATAAAAAGATTATAAGGATATATAGATAACGATCATACAAGTTTCCAATCACATGATATACCAAAAAGATGTCAATCACAATAATGTTGTGATGCTAATTATAAGGACATAAAAGATAATGATCATGCAAATTTCCACTCATACGATATACCAAAAAGATGTCAATCACAATAATGTTATGATGCTAATTGATTAGAAGTAGACAACAGCATTAGAACAAAGCAACATGCCTGCTACCACATGTATTCCTGTATATGTACTGACTACATGAAAATACAAGCCATCAATAATAAAAGCAAGCAACCTGGAAACATGTATTCAATGCACTTTAAACCAAGCAACTGATTTGAAAGTTACGACTATGTGAAACTTAAGGTATTAAATTCAAAATTTTCTTTTACTTTTTATTCCAAACTCCTAAATTCCACTTACATATGCCACAATATATTGCTGGAAAATTAAAACAATGCCCCAAAAATAACCTAGGATCGTTATTTTCACTGCCAAGGGAAAAATAAATTATCCAGGAACTTTAAACTAACTTCTATTACAACTTTTAACACAACATAAGTTCCAGGAAATTTACAGAAAAGTAACGTAAAACTGAAAAATAAATAAAAAACCAGTGAGAAGACTTATTGGAAGAAACGTACACCTGATTCCCTGACCAATGGCTTCCTCCTTAAGGTGTTGCTGGAAATTCTAAGATAGAGAAGTTTTGTAGGCAATCATACTTCCTCTATGGTCCTCTAGAGTTTAGAGAGCTCAAAAATAAACTAGGGTTCATACAAACCCTATGGGAACAAATATAGTGATCCTGGAAGTTGACCACTCTAGCTAGGCTTCTCTCTTCAAAAAAAAAATAGAGCAAACTATTTTTAATTCATCCTCATCTCCTTCAAAAATAAACTACTCAAAATAAACAAGAGAGAGAGATTATGTGACTCACTTGGTTGGAGAGAGGGTGGCATGATGCCCCAAAAAATATAGGGGAGAGAGAGGTGGTGTGCCTCTCTTTTGGTTAAGAGAGAGAGACGTAAGAGAGGAAAGAGAGATCCCCAAATATGGTGTGTGAGAGAAAGAGATCCCCTCACAAATTTGTTGGGTGATGCAGGGATCTCCCCCAATTTTGGTGCATGACAAAGAGAGAACTCCCCCAATTTTGGGGCATGAGGGAGAGAATCTTTGGGAGGAAAGAGAGAATCTTTTGATGGATCTCAAAATAGATTCAATCTTCATTTTTAAATAGAAACAAATCGAGAAGCCATCCATCCCAAAAATCATGATTTTGGGTAGAAAAATTAGAAACCTTATCCCCTTATACCTTCACTCAAACTTAAATACTCTCTAGATATATTTGAAAACCATATCTTATTAGATTTCCCATCTTAGTTTAAAATTACAAAACCAAATATTTAGTACCTTGACTCAAACTTAAACACTCTCTAGATATATTCGAAAACCATATCTTATTAGATTGCCCATCTTAGTTTAAAATTACAAAACCAAATATTTAGTACCTTGACTCAAACTTAAATACTCTCTAGATACCATTCGAAAACCATATCTTGTTAGATTTCCCATCTTAGTTTAAAATTACAAAACCAAATATTTAGAAAAGTTTACTTGATATATTCGAAAACCATATCTTATTAAATTTCCCAAGCTTGAAGGTCACCGATATGGAAAGTGGGTCACCGACAAGCCGCGTACACCAAAGAAATCCTAGGGCTCTTATTCCTACGGCTCCGGAACATGAGAACATATTCGTTAAGAATAAATTGCAAGAATCAACGCAAGGGAAAAAAGATGATCAACTGCCTACCTATCTAGTATCTCAAAATGGAACTCCTAAGTGTAGAATTTTTAAAACCTCAGTCACTGTTCGTGGCCAAACATTTGAGGGGCTTTCATGCTTGACCAAAAAGGAGGCAGAGTAATCTGCCGCTAAGGAGGCCTTAGCTTAAATTAAAAAACCAAATATTTAGGAAAGTACTCCTAAAAAAATGGTGTGCTAAAAAGTGGGGCGGCATTGTGCCACAAAAAGTGGCGTGGCCCTTTTTCCTTTAAAATAAAACTTTTAATAAAAAAAAAAGGATGGCATCGCCACTATTGCTTTAAAAAAAAAAAAATAGGATGTGGTCCGTAGGGGTCGTTTGGATCATAGGGTAAACAAAACGTGGTTTTGTATAACCATCTTACCCCGAAAAAAAACACGTTTGGCAACAATTTGAATATACATAATCATGTTTTCTGTAACCAAGAAAGAGGACAAAAACATGAGTATACAAAACCAAGAAAAAAATTGACTTATCCAAATCATTGTTTTGTTTAAGCAAGAAGAAAAAATACAACTTGTGACATTATTATTTTCACACACCAGCTGCCCACTTTATAAAATACAATTATGCCAAAACACCCACACAAATTAGAGAGAGAAACCACCTCAAATTTTAAGTTTTGGAGAGAGAAAGTATCTTCAAATTTTAAAAAGAGAAACTATATCAAATTTTAGAGAGACAAACTACTAAAAAATTTCAGAGAAAGAAACCATCTCAATTTTTTAGAGAGAGACACTATATCAAATTTCAAGTTTTAGAGAGAGAAAGTTTCTTAAAAATTTAAAGAGAGAAACCATATCACATTTTAGAAAGAGAAATTACATAAAAAAAAGTAGACAGAGAACATTCTCAAAAATTTTAGATAGAGAAATTATATCAAAATATAAATTTTAGATGAATAAAGTATCTTAAAATTCTAGAGAGGTACAATATATCAAATTCTAGACAAAAAAACTACTTGAACTTTTTAGAAAAACTATTTCAAGAATTTTATAAAGCAAAACCACATCAAATTTGAATTTTTAGAGAGAGAAAGTGTCTTAAAACTTTAGAGAGCAACTAATCAAATTATAGTGAGAGAAATCACTTGAAAAATTTTAGAGAGAGAAACTATCTCAAAAAAATTTAGAGAGTATCTTAAATTTTAAGTTTTACATAAAGAAAGAATCTCAAAATTTAAGAGAGAGAAACTATATCAAATTTTAGAGAGAGAAACACCTCAAAATTTTTAGAGAGAGACACCACCTAATTTTTAGAAAGTAACTATCTTAAAAAATTTAGAGAGAGAAACTACATTAAATTTTAAGTTTTAGAGAGAGAAACTACATCAAAATTTAGAGATAGAAATAACTTGAAACTTTGAGACAACTATCTCAAAACTTTTAGAGAGAAATGATATCAAATTTCAAGTTTTAGAGAGAAAGTATCATAAAATTTTAGAGAGAAGTTATATCATATTTTAGAGAGAGAAATTACAAGAAATTTTTTGAGAGAGAAACTATCTCAAATTTCAAGTTCTAGAGAGAGAAACTATATCCAATTTCAAGTTTTTGAGAGAGTATTGTAAAATTTTAAAAAGTGAAATTATATCAAATTTTAGAGAAAGAAACTACCTAAAAAATTTTAGAGAGAGAAACTAATTCAAAAAAATTTTGAGTATCTTAAATTTTAATTCCTACATAAAGAAAGTATCTCAAAATTTAAGAGAAAGAAACTAAATCAAATTTTAGAGAGAGAAACAATCCAAAATTTTTAGAGAGAGAAACCACCTAAATTTTTTTAGAGAGAAACTATCTTAAAATTTTTAGAGAGAAACAATATTAGATTTTAAGTTTTAGAGAGAAAAACTACATCAAAATTTAGAGATAGAAACAATCTGAAACTTTTGAGACAACTATCTCAAAAATGTTCGAGAGAAATTATATCAAATTTGAAGTTTTAGAGCGAAAGTATCATAAGATTTTAGAGAGAAACTATATCATATTTTGGAGGGAAAAATTACAAGAAATTTTTTGAGAGTGAAACTATCTCAAATTTCAAGTTTTAGAGAGAGACCATCTCCAATTTCAAGTTTTTGAGACTGTATTGTAAAATTTTAAAAAGTGAAACTATATCAAATTTTAGAGAAAGAAACTACCTAAAAAACTTTAGAAAGAGAAATATCTGAAAATTTTTAGTGAGAAAAACTATGTCAAAATTTCAAGTTTTAAAAAGAGAAGGCATCTCAAAATTTTAGAGATATAAACTATATCAAATTTAGAGATACTATCTAAAAACATTTAGGGAGAGAAACAATCTAAAAAATTTTAGAAAGAGAAACTTCTTAAATTTCAAGTTCTAAAGAGAGAAAGTATCTCAAAACTTTAGTGAGAGAAAATACCTAAATATTTAGAGCGAGAAACTATCTTAAAATTTTCAAAAGGAATTTATCTCAAATTTTAAGCTTTAGGGAGAATATCTAAAAAGTTTAAAGAGAGAAACTATATCATATTTTAGAAAGAGAAACCACCTAAATTTTTTTAGAGAGTAACTATCTTAAAAATTTTAGAGAGAGAAACTAAATCAAATTTTAAGTTTTAGAGAGAAACAACGTGAAACTTTTGAGAGAACTATCTCAACAATTTTAGAGAGAAATTATATTAAATTTCAAGTTTTAGAGAGAATTTATCTTAAAGTTTTAGAGAGTGAAACTATATCAAGTTTTAGAGAGAAATTGCTTTAAAAATAATTCAGAGAGAGAAACAATCTCAAAAATTTTAGAGAAATTTTCTCAAATTTTAAGTTTTAGAGGGGTAAAGTATTTTAAAGTCTAGAGAGAAACCATATCAAATTTTAGAAAGAGACATGACCTGAAAAAGTTTTAAGATAGAAACTACCTCAAAATTTTTAGAGAGATTTTCAACTATCAGAAATTTAAAATTTTTAGAGAGAGAAACTATCTCAAAATATTTGGAGAGAAACTATATCAAATTTAAAGTTTACAACAATGTTCTCTCTAAAAATGTTGAGATACTTTCTCTCTAAAAAATTTTAGGTAGTTTCTCTCTCTAAAATTTGGTATAGTTTCTCTCTATAAAATTCAGGCAAAAATTTTATAATGGGA